GCCTTTAGTCCTTAGCCAGCTGCTCCGTGCCCGGGCCTCTGGAGAGCTTCCCGGGCAGCTGTGGCAAAGCATTTCTATGTCTTTATTGTTGTTATTATTATTATTCTGAGCAGAGATTATACCCTGAGGCTTTAAAGCGCTTCCAAAGCCCCTGCCCTCCCCGGCCCATGGCGAGCGCAGAGCCGCTGGGGACGGCGGCACTGCAGCCGGCGCGGATAATCGCATCTGCCTTTACGCTCTGCCGAAGACACGGATGAATCCGGAGCTTTGGGAAGCAGGAAGAGGCTCCGGGGGTGCCGGAGCTTGGGGGGGATGCCCTGGCTTTGTGTCAGGCTGGATGGATCCCGATTAAGCCCGGGATGTGGACCAGCAGCGCAGTGGTGCTGCAGTGGGATGGGAAAGCTGAAGGGTTCAGTGGAGATCCTGTGTCCTTCCATGCTGGTTCATTTGGTTCAGTGCTTAATGATTGCTCTTTTGGGGAAATCACTCACTCACCAGTGGAAAAGAGGCCTGATCCTGCTCTGTAGGATGAGGGGCTGCTCCGTGGCTGGTGCTGGAAAGGAGGAGCTCTGTTCACAGTGATCCTCCAGCACCCAGCAAGGGCTTGCTTGGACAATCACCCCAGACCTGGTCCCATAGGTGAGGGAATCCTAGAGGGGTTTATAGAGCAGCAAAAGGAAAACTAGATTTTTCCTGCTTTAATCCACATTAATTCTTTGCTTTGAGTTTTCCAGCCTGTATGTTGATGCCCGGAGCAGTCGTATGGCGTGCAGGCAGACGGGATGCTCGGCTGCAGGGAATGAGCAGGGAATGACAGCAGACAGGATGCACGTCTCGCTGGGCAGGAGGCAAGCTGCCTGTCCCTGCTCCCCCCCTCCCAAACTGTCCTCCCTGGCACAGCACCGGGCTCGGAGCATCCGTGGAGCTCCCGCCAGGAACGCTTTGCTGAGGTCTCACACGTCGGAGCGGGGTGGGGAGGAGCAAGCTCTGCTTTGCTGCTTTGCTTTCACATGCCTGGGGGTCATGGTGCCTCCTAAAATAAACCCGGCGAGCTTCACGCGGCCTTTGCATGGCAGCACGTGGGCTGGGAGCGGGAAGGGGGAGCGGGAAGCGGGGCACATAACTCCAGCCAGGGGTTGCACTGCTCACCTGAACCTAAGGGCTGCATCCGCATCCCTCCCACTGCTCCAGTTGGGGTGTTTTATTGATCAGGCCTTGCCATCAGCCTGGGATTTAAAAGTCAAGCCGTGCTGGAGGGCTTGGCTTGGTCAGTGCCTGCTCTGCTATCGCTTTCCTGGAGGGGGATTAGATGGGCTTGGGCTCATCCTCATCAGGTATGATCCCTTTTCAGAGCTAAAGCTGCTGCTGCCAATATTCCCCCCTTCCTTTCTCTGCGTTGGGGCTCTGCATGGAGCAGAAATCCTTGGGGTACTGGTGGGTCCCTGTAGGGCTGCAGAGCAGCTGCAGGGTCATGATGATGGGAGTCCCCATGGGCAGAGCATCACGCTTGGGCTGCCTCTGTCCGTACTGCTCGCCTTTGTCTTCCCTGCCAGCCAAAGTGGTGCCTGATGTCCTTCCTCTAAGAGGTGAATGCCCCATCCCTGGCAGTGTTCAAGGCCAGGTTGGAGCAACCTGCTCTGGTGGAAGGTGTCCCTGCCCATGGCAGGGGGTTGGGACTGGGTGAGCTTTAAGGTCTCTCGCAGCCCAAACCAGTCTGGGATTCTATGAAAACCTCTGGCTTTGGAGGGCTTCAGGAGTTGCTCAGGGCTGCCTGGCCCCAGCATGGTAGTACCAGGGGTTTGGGGGCAGGAAGCAATCTCCTCCTGTACCAGGGAGCTTTGCTCAGCCCAGCATGGCCTGATCCAGCATCCCTGCTGTAGTAGTAATAATAACAAATAATAATCCCCCCCGAGCTTCCCTGCAGCCTCCCCTGTGTTCTCCTGGCTGACCCAACTCCCCTGCAAAAGCAAATCACAGTTAATCCCCTCCGCTGGGATTTGGAGCAAGACATTCCCAGCCTGTGTCAAGTGTTTTCCAGGAAGGCTGCTGCAGGCACCCACCTCTCCTGCTGGGATGCAGCCAGGCTGGAGCTGCTCCCTCTTGAAACCCCACCTGTACTGGGCAAAGCTGCGTCCTTGCTCAGAGCAGTGCCATGGGCACCCCGTGAGGCTGAGGCGGGGAGTGAGCTGAAGGCTTTTCACTCAAATAGCCCCAAATCTGTGGAGTTTTGAGGGGGTTGTTGGCTTTTAAACCCATCTGCTGACAAAAAGCTGCTCGTAGCATCCCTTCAGTACAAACCATTGCAAAGCACCCACCCGGAGCCTGGTGAGCTGCTCTCTGCTGGGTGATGCTGCTGGAGATCTCCCCCTTGAGCTCCCCTCCCCACTCCCCCCTGCTCTGTGAAGGGGATGCCCTTGGTTTCTCTGTACCCCTCGTACCTCGGGCACCCCAAGCCAAGTACTTCTCAAGGAGAGGCATAAATGCATAGACATCTCCTGGTATTTATTCCACCGGTTATAACTGTACCGTGGCACGGGGACAGCAGAGGAGGTGGAGAGACACTCGATGAGCACAGAGCACAACCACAGCACGACAGAGGAGGAGGAGGAGAGATTCCCTCATCACTTCGTTCTTCTGGAAGGAACAAGGACACGAGCAGATCCCACCCTGAGGAAGGGTTGGTGTGGGCTCCGACGGGCACCGGGGCAGGGGTGGCTTTATTCCTTTCTGGCATCAATTCATGCTTCAGCCCTCTGGTCCTCAACACCCCCTTCCTGCTGGGCCATCAAGGGCGCAGCGGTTGGTGTTTCTTGCGCGGTCAGGATGTTATTTCTCATTTCACACCATGCCTCGTCCTTGCAGAGCAAACCGGAGCCTCCCCATCATTTCCAGGAGGCAGGAACCTGGCGCCCGGGCACCACGCTGCGGGAAAGCCTTTGCCTTCACATGCTGACGTGCTCCAATGGCACCCCAAGGTCACGCAGGGCTTTCCTTCCCCGCTCTCACTAAGGGCACCCGCTGCCCGGGCACAGGGGGTGGTTGGGGCACAGGGGGAACATGCTGCCTCTTGGCTCTAACCTCAGACCGGAGAACAAGACAATAACCACACATCGGGGACATCTGGGGCAGGGACTTGAGGCTTCCCGCGGGGGAGGAGGGGGACCCGGGTCCCCCTTTTCGTGCGGCGCCGCACTCCGGCCCCCGCCCCCCGCCTGCCCCCCCCCCCTGCTCATCCCACCGGTGGGGAGCGGGGCTGCTGCCACCTCACATCATGGAGCACTTCTCAGCCGACTGCTTCAGGTCCTCGAGCGTGGCCGAAGCTTTGTCCTTCAAGGAGTCAAGGTCCAGGTTCTGGATGTTGCTGAGCTGGCCGATAACCGAGTTCTTCTCTTCCTCTTCCTCGTTGTCCTGCTCGATCATCTTGGCCAGCTCCTTGGGCAGCTCCACGTCACCTCCCACCAGCTGGA